TATTATCAATTAATTTTAAATTAAATACAAATTTTATATTAAAATTCACATACATAATTTTTATAAATTTAATTAATTTGATAATATGTTTTTGTTAATATATAAAGTGAATTATAAAGTAAGAGGTAGTTTAATTTATTAAGAAAAAGAGGGGAGTGGACCACCTAGGCCTAGAGGCCTACTGGCATTAGCCAGCTTGTTAGGTGCATTCCCCCTCCCCTGAGCGAGTTTCGAACCCGCTCCGTGTCAAAATGTTCAAAAAAAAAAGAAAAAGAAAAAGAAAAAGGGAGGTGGGGTGGGGTGGGGTGGGGTGGGGTGGGGTGGGGAAGGGACCACTGGCCTTTGAATCCGCCGTACATTAACCGGTAGTCGGAAAAGACACCACCAGCCACGAGGAGAGCGTTGAGTACTTTGTTTCCAACCAATTACTGTAAGTTTCCTCTCACGTTATACACGCTTGACTTTCCCAAAAATGTACTCGAGAAAGAAATTTGCCTTGCCGAGTACCGCCGAGGGATAATGGCGGCCAAAAACGTACTCCAAAAACTACACTTTCAAACCCTAAACAGAACGTAAAAAAACAAACATGATGTTTTCGCTTTGTTTTTCTTGCATGATTCCATGTACTAAGCTCAGTTTCTTTTCCATGATTTTTTGACGAAAATTGTATCATTATTCCCTGACAACATTGTTTTCGTCATCGACTTTGCAATCTTGAATTCTAATTACTAAATAATTTCTTTTAATTATTACTGTTAAGTTGTTTTTAAATTAATGTTTTATATGTATTGAAATTAATTTTTTTAATAATTAAAAAAAATTTTCCATTTCAATTGATTACATTTAATATCAATACTTTAAGAAATAGAGTGAATTTGAACTATATTACCCTTTACTCTTGCACCCCCACCAACCTTGACTACGTCGGTACAATGCATCAAAACTCATGGTAAAGTCTATGGTCCAATCCATTTGAATTATTAATGTCGTCGATGTCATCGTTCCCCTAATTTCCCAAGTTCAAAAAGAAAAAATTACTCTTATTCTTTTTTTATTTTGGTCCAAAAAAAAAAATGAAATCATATTTTTTGTGCTTGATACAATTTATCTTCCCGAACTCAGAAGTAATTGAAGATGATCCCAGCTTTCGTTTTCTTATATGCAACGTAATCAAGGTTTTGATGCACACAGACTTAGACGATTTCCAAGGTTGTAGTAGTTATCCATTCGGAATTCTATG